CACATTTGCTTAACAATTTGGCAGGGATAGAATTCTAAGTTGAAAGTACTGTTTCCCTCAGAAATTTGAAGACATGGTATTATTGTTTTGTAGCATTCAACGTCGTTAAATCAGGTGTCATTCTGATGTTTGTTCCTTTGCAGATAACCCGTTTTTACTTTCTTGGAGCTTTGGAACTTTTAGTTCTTTTCTTTTTTTCTTTTTTTTTTGGTTTTGGTCTTGGTGTTTTGAAATTTCACAATAATGGTCCTAGGTATGGTCTTTTTAATTCATCTTGCCGATAAGGCTTTCAATGTAAGGAACAAGATCTCCTTTAAGCTCTGAGCACTTTTGTAATAATCTTTGATAATGTCTTAGATAATTTCTTTGGTAAGTTCCTCCCTCCATATTTTCTGTTCTCTCTTTAGAGCACAAATGTTATTTGGATGTTGGAATTCCTGGACCAATCTCCCAAAGAACTTAGCATTTATTAAAGGAACAGTAAGAAAAGAAACAGTGCAAGAAAAATACCAACGATCCTTTCACATATCTTTTTTCTTTTTTTTCTTTGAAACAGAGTCTCACTCTGTTGCCCTGGCTAGAGTGAGTGCCGTGACGTTAGCCTAGCTCACAGCAACCTCAAACTCCTGGGCTCAAGCGATCCTCCTGCCTCAGCCTCCTGAGTAGCTGGGACTACAGGCATGCGCCACCATGCCCGGCTCGTTTTTTCTATGTATTTTTAGTTGTCCAGATAATTTCTTTCAATTTTTTTTAGTAGAGACAGGGTCTCGCTCTTGCTCAGGCTGGTATCGAACTCCTGAGCTCAAACAATCTGCCCGCCTTGTCCTCCCAGAGTGCTAGGATTACAGGCATGAGCCACCGTGCCCGGCCCCTAGTTAGAATTTTTAGCAAATATTCTTCATTCTCTGAAGGGGGGACTATTGGGATGATAGATTCCCTTGAATAGAGATGGAGGTGACTTGTCAGTTTGATACCATTGGTCTTTCATATCTTACTTTTTTTTTTTTACTGTCGAATGCTCATGTTTGTCTATAACTACCAATGAGACTGAAGGGGGGACAGTCACAGGCCAACTTCACACTGGCATGAGGGGAGCTGGTCTAATGAGGCATGTAGATTGGTTAGTGGTGTTTTAGCAACATGAATTTCCTGGTTTTGATAGCTGTGCTATGGATACAGAAGATGTTTACTTCAGGGAAAGCTGAGTGAATACTGTATGGGACACACTACTATTTTTACAACCTTTTCTGTAACTTTAAAATTATTTCAAAACAAAAAATTTTTAAAGTCCTTGTCATGTCATATCCACACTTTTCCCATGAAAGGCTGATGAAGGCCATAGAGTCAGAGATCCAGGCCCCATGAAGTACGTCCTTCTCCTCTCCTTTCTGGACTATTCCAAGTCATGGAACTCACCTCCATGCCTCCTTTCTCTCTCCAGCTCTGCAGCCTGTGCAATCCATTCCCAGTACAGGGCTGGAATTCCTGCTGTGATACTTAGAACCTGCAGGGGCCCCACTGCCTGGTAGATCAACCCACACTCTTTACAATGGTGCACAAGGCCCTGCATGGCCCAGCCCAAGCTCACCTCTCCACCCTCAACTTCTGCCCCTTCTGGACATTCACCCTCCTCTCCAACCCCACAGAGACCTTCTGACACATTTTCAAAGATTCCTTGTCTATCCCCCCTCCTGGAATCCACCTTCACTGCTCTGACTACCTGGAAGGCCTCTGTCCAACTCCCTCCTTCTGAGCCTTCTGGTGAATTTCTGTTTCCTTAGAGCCCCAGCCTAAATATCACTTCCCCTTCAATGCTCTGCACTTTTATTAAAAAAATCTATTATAGTTCTTATTATTAATATTGTGAATCATCTATTCTTCCATGGTCAGGAATTGTGCCTGGTTCTTGGGTAACAAAGACAAAGGGCAGAGCCTCTGCCTCCAAGGAGCTTCTGGGTGGGTGAGGCTGGAGGGGGAGCCCGTGGTCATAGTGCAGTGTGACCTATGGCGTGAGAGGGGCAGCACCGAGCAGTTTCTAAGCAGGAAACTCTTAGGGGATTATTATCCCTGAGTTGGGTCTTGAAGAATGAATGAGGATTCCCAGTCCTCTTTCCACATGCAGGTCTCTTCTTCCACATCTCACTGCTCTCCTTCCTCATCTGCTCACACGCTGTCTGACCCATTTGGTTCAAGGACCTGTTCAAGTTAGTTCAACAACTTTCCCATACAGTCTTTGATGAAAAGCATGAACATTAATGACAAAAGCTAACCCATTCATGCTTAAATATGCATGGTGTCCTCTTCACCTATGCCGTGGGGAAAGCCACCTTACCGCATGAGGGCTTTGTGTTCCCTGGTCCCACCGTCCACGTGGGGGCCACAACCCATACTCCTAGGCCAGGAGGGGCACTGGGCACAGGGTGGTCCTCTTAGCAGCCTCCTGCACCCTGCCGTCTTCCTCACTTCTGATTCTTCTTCTTGCCCACCCCACCCTCCTCCTCCATGTGCCATGGTCAGATGGCTCCTGCGCTCGATTGCAGTCATGGCAAAGGGGAAGGTGGAGACCAGGAGGGAGAGGCTCCTGTCACCAAGGCTGAGCCCAGAGGGGCCAGCAGGGCCCATCTCCTCCCCAGCCTTCAGCAGGCAGGGAGGGGGCTTGGGCAGGGTGTTCTGTTCCCCACCATTAGCTGGGGGGTCCAGATTTCTCTGCCCCTGAACCCAGGGCCAGCACCTCCACCCCCAGGTCTTCCAGGCCAACTTCTAGGGAGTAAGGCTGCTTGGCTTCCACATTCCTGGAGCCCGAGGGGAATTTCTGCCCTAAGAGGCCTCTATAAACCCATCCACAACCTGGGCACAAAGTTCAGGGCAGAGGGAAAGCAGGAAAGACAGAGTGAGCCAGGTCCCTGAGTAGGGTCTCCATAGGGTTTGCCAGTCCTGACAGTCCTGAAGTCTCTCTGTAATGACCAGTTTGTGAAAACAAGCTGTAGTGAGGGAACCCGGGGTGAAGGTGTGTCTGCAGGCCCCTGTCAGCCTCCCCCATGTCCCTTCCAGAAGCCGCACACAGGGAGAACAGATGCTGACCCCTTCCCTGTGCCCCAGCACCCCACAGACAGAAGCCACCACCTCTGATGAGGAAAAACACATCTATTAGGAAGCATTGCATGTCTTGGTAGGAAGAAGCTATTAGCATATAGGGGATGTGCTTATGTGAGACAAAACAGGTTTTCTCTGCACGTCCCCAATTTTTTCTAGGAGAAAACTTTTCCCACCAGGGAAGGCATAAGAAGCATGATCTGGTCGACCAGACAAGCATGTTGGCTAATAGTGAAGGTGGCCTGAGGCTCTTGCCACCCTTGGCCTATGCTGGCAGGGACTGGCTGGGGCCACAGGCTCCCTGGGCTGGGAGGCCCTGCTGTCCCTGTCTTGGACCCACTTGTTCTTGACAGGATGGCTGTGGCATGTGGGGGGTGGCATGGTGACTGTAGGCCTTATCTCTCATTTCTCTCCTTTGTTCTGGGTGGGAGGGGCCCCTGGGGTAGCAGGAACGCCCATCCACCGGGGCCTGGAGATCCTTTATGGGATAATTGAACTCAGAGGGACCATGTCCTTTCTGAAGCCCCAATTTGTCCACTAGGATCTGTCCAACAAGTTTAACGATTGCTCGGACTTCAGGAGCACTGCTGGACAGTCTTCTTGTGGTTGGCCCTGGGCTCCGGGCTGTAGCAGATGCAGGCTTGCCTTTCTGCAGGGGATCTTCCTTTCCTCTGCCTTTTTCACTGGGGTCAAGACCCTGCAGGCCATGACTGATCATTTTCCTGGAGTGGCTTTCCCCAGCTGCCTGTCCCTTCTCTCCCAGGAACTGAGAGTATTTACTCCTAAGGGTTTTTCCTATTTCTCTGACCTGGGCAGGGTGGCGCATCCCACTGGCTTGGAAGGTCCTTGGTCCTGCAGACGTTTTTTTCTGCTCCCTTGGTTTAGGCATCCTACAGAGCTCTCTCTTCTCGGTAGGGCCAAGCATCTTGCTGTGACTCTTCCACAGGGCCTCGCCTTTTGGGCTCCTGGGTTCCTGCTGCCCCTCGCTGCTGCCTTCCTTCCATGTGGGATCACGCCCCTGAGAAGCTGACATGTCCTTACTGGACATTCTCTGGGAATCAGACAGAGGGGCCTGGGAATTGGAGAGAGAGGCCTGGGAATCAGACAGAGGGGCCTGGGAAGACAACATGTCTGTGGCGGGGAGAATGTTGGTGTGACGGCCTCGAAAGCAAAGGCCAGTGGCACAGTCTTGGAGGAGGACACCAGTGGCAGGGCCTTCAAGCTGTTTCTCTGTCTCTACCTCCACTTTGAACTCAAATTTACTCACAACCTTTGCTTTCAGGTGTAGCTTTCCCGGATCCTGGGTACCAGAAATTCTAGAGAGTGGGGAGATTTTACTGGTCCCCAGAAATCCTGAACTGAGATTCACATTAGCAGTTTGGGAGTTTGCCATCATACTGGCTCCAAAGGTGACTTGCCAAGCAGGGGTCTTCTCCTCCTCAGCCTCCACTGGCTCCATGGTCTCCTCGGCCCCTGAAGACAGGGACCTTCCTCTGAGCTCCAGCATTGCTGTGCTACTGCAGGGGTCTCCTGAGGCCATGCTCTCCTTCTCCTCCCATGGCTCATGCCTGGCCATTGCTGGACTTGGACTAAGCTCTGGGTGGCCTCTTTTGGCCCCCAAGACAGTAGTGCTCTGCCAGGTTCTGCTCTTGAGGCTGCATGTGAGGGACTGAGAAGGCCACCTGCCCTCCTGTCCAGTCGGAGGGGCCTCTGAGTGCTCATGGTTTTCCCCAGACTGGGTCCCTCTCAGGTCCCTCTGGACGTCCTCACTCACAGGTGAGGGAGCAGAGAGAAAACCAGTCAGGGTGAGGACTGACTTTTTTGTTGTTATCACCTTCTCTCCTGGGCCTTTCCAACGACGTTTTCCCAGGAAATTGGCAACCTCAGCAATGGAGTCATCCCCAAATTCACCAGTCTCCCAGGAGGGAAGGCTGGAGTGTGCAAAAGGTGGAGATTGAGCCTTGAGATTTATGGGCTCCAGGGACCGGAGGCTTGAATCCCACCTGTGCCTCACCTGAAACCTTTTAATATGTGCTTCTAGCATCTGTTGAGTGCATGGATCAAGGAAGAAAAGCTCCTGGGAGGTGTTCACATGACATTTCTGACACCTCCAGGATGCTAGATTTCTGGGCTTTTTGTGGGTGTCAGACTCCGGAATAGCATGGCTGGCAGTACGCCAGGACTGACGTGCTTGCACAGGGATCATGCCGGTCTTGATCTCCCCCAGCTTCCGGTCCAAATGGAGATTCAGGAATTTTTCAACATGCTGCTTCTCTCGGCCCCTGAGTAGGTAATTTCCTGATTGATACTTCTGGAGCCTAATCCAGTCACTATCTGACTCCTCCTCATTGTCCTCTAGAACCTTCACTGAGGTGTTTCTTGAACCTGTGCATGGACTTTCTGGGCCCCTCTCCAGATCTTGCCCTAGGTCCCCGCTTGGGTGCTTGTCTTCTTTGACCCTCCTGGGGCCCTTCCAAAAGAATCTTTCCGAGTACCTGGACCCCATCTTCCGTACATTCTTGCTGCTTTCACCTGCTGCAAACACAGGAGGCTGGAGGTGAGGCTGGAAGTGACCCCTCCCTGGGAATTCACCCTGAGGTTCCATCAGTTCCCCAGATGCTTGGGCTCTCCAAGGAGGGCCCGACTGGTGTTCACCTGGGACGAAACTCCTCTGAGTATATTGCTGCTGCTGCTCCTGGTGGTCAGGGCTGATGAAAGCCCCAGGAAGGGTGGAGGCTGACTTGTGGCTCTGGGAGGCCTGGCTGTCCTGGGGAAGGTCAGAAGTGGGTTGGCTAAAGACTTCCTGAGCATTTTTGAGCAGAGAGGGTAAAATCTTCTTCCATCTCAGTCGCTTCTGCAAGGGCCATTCCAGATGTTCACTTTCAGTTGGGATGAGGAATTCTTCCTTCCTCTGGGATGTAGGACATGTTGTTCTATAGCCTCCTGTAAGATCCCCTTTACCATGGGGTGGAGAGAAGTATGGTATGTTTGGGGGAGAGTGTGGGAGATGGGCCTGGCCATGGACCTCATCCAGAGGTGGGGGTTGGGGCTGGGGCTGGGGCAAGGTTTGAGTCAAAGGCTGGGGCTGGGCCACGTGGTGGGGCCAGGGCTCGGCCTGGGGAGCCTGTGAAGGTGCTTCAGCCCAAGTGCGAACTGAATTGAATGAAACAGAGAGACGTGTTTTTGAGGAAGACTTCCTAGAGACCCAGGCCGCAGCCTTGCTGTGCAGAGAGGGGAGACCCCAGAAGAGCTGGCTGCGTTTTTGCTGTAAATGGTCCCCCACAGCCTTTGGGATGGGGGAGCTGCTGAGGACCAGGCAGCTGCTCTGCTTTGTCTTTCATGTTCCAGAAGGGGTGTGGGGTTGTGGTGTCCTCCTCCCCACTTGGTGATTTTAACATATTCCTCAGAGAACCCTGGGGGTAGTCTGGGCTCATTTGTTTCAGAAATGACCCTTCCTTTTCTTTCTCCTTCCACAGCTTCAGCTCTGCTCTCTTGGTGATGAGCATCTCCAGGAGCTTCCTGACATTTGGGTGGAGGAAAGGAGGGCCACCAGCCTCTGTCTGCCTGAGTGGGGGGTCTCCCCAGAATGAAGCCTCTGGTGGATGGTGGAAAAGCGGCTCCTGCTGGGATTTTCTGTGGTATGAGATGGCGAGGAACAGGGCCTTGGCAGTTGCCCACCACCAGGAGAGGAACAAAATGATGCATTCAAGGCCTGAAGTGGCCAAAACAGGAGGTGCCAAACAAGAGTAACCTGGAGGTGAGCTGTCTGGGACAGTGCCCAGGGGGACGCTCTTCAAGTCAGACTGGTCTCCTTCAGGTTCTACTGACAGGGTGGAGGCCAGAGGCAGAGGGTGCTTGGCCGTGGGAGCTGGGGAAGCCAATGGGGATGAGGTGGTGGGAGAAGCATCTTCCATATGCTCTCCATGAGTCTGGTGGGCTCTGGCAGGCGCTGATATACACACCTCCCCGGGGGGGTCCGGACATGAGAGCTGTTGAAAGCCCCCATTGTCAGGGAGCTTCACCAGGTGGCTGCAGGAGACAAGGAGCACAAGCTGCAGCAGGGGCAGGTGGGACCTGGGGGTGGGACAGGGGTGGCACTTGCTGCCCACGGCCCCTCCACTGCCCCCACTCTGACTTCTCTGAACTCCACCCCTCCCAGGCCCCAGGGCTCTAGTCACATCCCATCACCTGCCCTGGTCTCCCCCTCCCAGGGCAGCCCCAGGCCCTGGTAGGAAAGAGGATATGAGAGAAGGGGAGAGTCCCTCACCTCTGCAGAAGTGAAGTCAGGTCTCGAGCCCCCTCCAGTTCCCTCAGGCAATCTCTACAAGCTGGAAATCAGGAGCCCGGTTAGGGGGGAAGGGAGGGGCCTGGGGATCTTACAGGAGGCTGAGTGTCCATCTAGGACAGACCATGGGGGATTAGACCCTGGAGCCCATACATCGATGTCCAAGGCCATATGACCCCAGCAATGACAGCAAGAAGCTCTTTGGGCAGGACTTCATCATGTACACAATGCTCCCACATCCATCCCCCAGGGTCCTCACACCTCCTTGTTGGGGGAGAAGACAGGGGTCGCCTCAAAGAGGAACCAGCCTTAGCCAGGCTAAGCAGCTGTCCACAGTTGGGCCTGGAGGGGCCATCTCCACATCCAGGCCCCTACTGGGCAGCACCCATTCCCTGCCCACCTGGCTTCATGCCCAGCATGGGTTCTGGGAAGACTCCTGCGTTCTGATTTCCTTCCCAGGAGCCCACCTCAGCCTCTGCAGCTGACTTCCTGGGAGACTTGTCCCTCAGGAACAGTGAGGCTAAGTTCCCCCCAGAGGCTCCGGGCGGAGTGGCAGAGCCTTACCTTTCAGAGCGCAGCAGTTCTTCCTGCTCCTGGGCCTCCCCCTCTTCCCCACTGGATGCTGAGAGACAAGAAAGATCGAGAGGCTGGGACCAGTCCTCACTCGCCTCCCCCAATACAAGCTGCACACGTTCAGTGCTCATGGAGCACATGACCTTCTGCATCTAGCTAATGAACCTATGTCTTTTTTCTTACCTTTTACTCATTTTTAAAGTGGATAAAACTATTTTCTATTTTCCTTCTTTGAAAAATGCAAAGAAGGATTTTTTTATGAGAGATCCACAGTGGGTATCTTCCATAATTGTTCCTCTGGTGAACTAAAATAAAATTCTAAGCCCTACAGTTGATTGAAAAGACCCCCCCTTGGCCATGGGGACCCCAGAAAAACTTTAAAACGGAGTTGACCCTCCATGAAAAGGAGGTCGGACTGGCCTAGTCATGCCCCTCCCTCTTGGAGTTACTCATTGTAACAATAAGATCATAAATCATTAACAGGACCTAAGGCCATGCAAGACAAAGGTGAAACCACAGCTGCAGGCCATCAATTTACTTAACAGATCAGTATATGTCCAGTATATGTCCTGTGGCTTATCTCCAATTAACAGACTTATTTTAACTTAAAACGCCCAAACCTTTAGACAAATCTTCATTTCTTTAACCAATTATAAATCAAAGACTCTTTGAACCGGTCTATAACCTATAAACTCTCACTTTGGGATGCCCTGCCTTTTTGGGCCAAACCAACCTACACCTTCCCTGTGTTTATGATTTTATGTATAATTCCTGTCTTCATGAATACATAAAACCAAACTGTAACCCAGCCTCCTTGGGCACATTTTCTCAGGACCTCTCAAAGCCATCTGTTCTGGGCCATGGTTACATACAATCTACTCAGCATAAACGTCTTTCGATTATTTTACAGAGTTTGGGTTTCTTTCCCATTAACACTTTGCTGGAGAAGCTGACTCAGACCAATAGGCACCTCTGAGCTGTCAGGCAGGATTCTGCTTCCCGAGGAGGCCAGAGGCCACTCCCCACCCATAGGAGGCTCTCAGGGGCTCCTTACAGCCCTCGGATCACCCAACACAGAGGAGAGGCTGGGCCACAGAAATGCGATTGTTGACTGATGAACCAGGGCTCAGGGCCATCCTCCCATGGAGAACTCAACTCTCTAATAACCCTGTCCTCAGCCCCTGAGCCCCAGCATTTGATTTAGCCTTGAAGCCTCCTGTGAACCCACACAGGTGGTCTGAGAGCTTTAGATAGAAATCCCATGCCACTCTAAACACCACCAGCCCCCCGCCTTGCCTCTGGGCCTAGAAGATTCAGGAGATTCCCATCTCAGGACTTTCTACTTGGTTTGGAAAAGTGGAAATAATTATAGATAAGAGAATTATTCTCTGCTGGGTCTGGGCAGAGGGTTCCTTACCTTCCTGATGTTTCTTTTTTGCCCAGATGGTGGTGAGGGTGGATCACTCTGGAGGCAGGGGAATAAGAGGAGGAAGAGCCCCAGTCCACACAGAAGGCCCAGGATAATATCCATCACCCAGGCAGTGGATCTGGAGCTCAGCCATGTGGCGCTAATGCTTTTCAGAAGAGAGAGATGGTTCTCCATCTTCTGAATTGCACTGCTGCCCTCAAGCAGCTGAGCCCTGGGCATTTCCTTTGGGCTTATTGACTAGGGCCCAGGCCTGCATCACAGAGCTGTGGCCTCCTCATCACAAAGGGCTCCTGAGGGTGGGAGAAGGGTGATGAAAGGAGGAGGCTGAACCCCACCCCTCCCCCACCACCCAGCCCTGCAGATCCCTCTACCCTCTGGGCTTCCAGATCCCTCTTTCCCACTCCATCTGCTCTACCTGTCAGAGATGGACCTGAGTCAATTTTCTTTTCTTTCTTCCTGGAACTCAGGTATTACCTGGTTTCTTTTATCCCCTGGAGATGTTGGCTTGAGCCCACCAATTTCATAGCTTTTGAAAGTCTGAACCAGGGATTGTGCTTATTTTCTAGGGATTTTTTTTTTTTTTTGAGACAGAGTCTCTTTCTCTCTCTCTCTCTCTCTCTCTCTCTCTCTCGCCTGGGCTAGAGTGCCATGGCATCAGCCTAGCTCACAGCAACCTCAAACTCCTGGGCTCAAGTGATCCTCCTGCCTCAGCCTCCCGAGTAGCTGG